GAAAAAAAAATTTCGGACTTTATTTTATCTTCTCGGTGAAAATGGCTACCAAATGCAATTATTGTGTGAAAATTCTCGATTTTATTTTTTACATTTTTAACTTTATAATGCTACGACATATTGAAAAGTGTATGGATCAACATTATTTTTTTATGAGAAATAAATTTTTTAATAATCCCTTTTTCATTCGACATACTTTATCTTAATTAGGATATTAATAATGAACTAGCAGATCATGTAGCTTTTGGAATAATCCACCAATTTTTTAAAATTAAACACTATCTAAAGATTTGCATCGAAGCCTTTTTTTTTTTATAGTGATTTTAATCACTGTCAGATATCATTATACTTGATCCATCTATGCCTCGTCACCACTGTGCCGTGAACCCCTGTGCTGGGTTTTTTGAATTTAACTTTGATGTTCGTTTTAAATACAAAAACAAGTCTAGAGGTAATTTTTCCTTAATATTGTATATTATACAAGCTTTAATTTAAGGTAAAAGGGTGAAAAAATGCTTTGAATACTAGGAGACTATTTTCTCATATCGTCAGTTGCATTACAAATCATATAACTATTAATACAACAGAGAAGTAAATAAGAAATACGACCAATAAAATAAATCAAAATAAATGATTTACTTCTATACTTTTAGTTAAGTAGAATANTTATTTACTTCTATATTTTTAGTTAAGTAGAATAGTTGAACAAATATGCAAAAAACATGTGGTTTCATAAATCACTAAAAATCAAAAATAATTTTTATTGCTATATTTTTAGTTAAATAAATAATTTATTATGACTATTTATTAAGAAATTTAGCAGCAATTTAAAAAAAAACCCAGCACAGGGGGGTCGCGGCACAGTGGTGACGTGGCATAGTTGGATCAAGTATANCAACTACAAAACGTCAAGGCTTATTAATTTATAGACTTAAATTTCAGTTTTCAGTGATAAATGAATCAAAAGAAATCAAGATTTACTAATATTTTTAGTACAATGATGACACTAAAATAGTTATATAAAACTAGTTTCCACACATTTATCAATAAATAAAATGTTTACTAAGTTTTAAATAAAAATTATTATACATTAAAAAAATTTAATTTATTAAACGCTTTTATTTCTATTTTAAAAATGACGTTTTATTAATACTTAATCAACATAGTATTGTTATAAAATAAATAGAATTTCAATTAAACTATCATTTTAATTTTTTAACTAATCAGTTTTATTCGAAAACGTTGATTTATTAATCCAATAATGAACTTCTACATTTTCATCGTGATTTCTCTAACTAGAAGTCTTTCAAACGCAATTCTTTTCAAATTTCAACCTTTGAACGAGGAGGTAAAACGATATTATTTAATTTTTAATATTATTTATTTTTTTATAAAAGTAAATTGTTAATGTTTTCTATTTTAGAAAAATGATTTTGAGAAATAACTAAGTTTTTATTAAGATGTAGATTATTTTTCATTTTATCTTATATAGATATAGCATTTTTACGCAACGTATCAAGTTTAATTCAAATTTGATTTTAGAATAAAAAAAAAATTGACATTGTTTTTATTCAAAAATCAAAATTTCATGAATATAGTTAGTAATTCGATATTTAAAATGTAGCTCGTACTGTAATTTTAAACTATGGTAACCACCATGTCAAAATAATAAATATTAGCGGAACAAAATAAGGGCGCTTTTCATTTAAATGGGAATTTTTACAAAACTGATTTCAGTTCTTTTCTTTTTGGCTTAACTATTCTTATAAAAACAAACGGTAGCACAATGGCGTCGCAGCATAGTGTGGACGTGGCATAGTTGAGACAAATATAGATAATTAGTAGATTTTTCATTTATATGTATTATACATGAATAAATTTTTGTTACTTATGAATAAATACACTGGTCTACAAGGAATTTTCATCAGAGACAGAATATAATTTTTTAAACCTTTTTGCGTCAATTTAAAATTTGCTATTATATTTTTTCTATCACATCTTTTTGAGATTATTACTATTTAATAAAAAGCAAATATTTACATATAAAAAAAAAAAATTAAAAGCAAATTTAAATTTTTGTAAGTTTATGTAAAAAGTTCAATATTTTGTAAGAAACACTATTTTTTTTGTATTTTTATCATATTTAATAATTTTAATAGAAATTATAGTATCATAGAAATCATTTCTAAGTAACATTTAGTGTTAAAAAAATTATACAATTGAATTATTCAGAACTTAATTAATTTTAATGATTTTATTCACCTAAAAAACCAATAAAAATATTGTTAAAATAGTCAACTCAATTAAGCGTTAAATCCAGGTGAATGTAAAAATCAATTTTTTTTAGAAATGCTTTATATAGCAACATGTTACCAAAAAATTTGGAATATTATAAACTGATGGTAACACACATAAATACAGTTAAAAAATTAATAAATTACAAAGAAAAATTATTTAATTTTGTAGTTGAAACCTATAAACATATTAAACCAATCCGACAATAAATTTTTTAAAAATATTAGAAATTAATTATTTTAATTATCTGTATAGAAAAAGTTGGTTAAGCAACTTTTTATTTGATAACATTTTTTCAACTTATGATGGTAATATCTTTAACTAGATACTATTTGTGATCAATTGACGTATCGTTTAAAAAAATTGGCCAAGTGAGAGCTGAAAAAAATGAATGGCAGATTCAAAAAAATTTAAATTTATTAATTTTAAATTTACTATTTTAAATCCGCCCCAATGAGCAGGTTAAGTGATAGATTTTCAAAAAAATGATATCAAATGAAAGATAAATATCTAAGAATTCAATACAAAAAAATATTATTTTTATTTGTTCATTTTTGANGAATTCAATACAAAAAAATATTATTTTTATTTGTTCATTTTTGAAAAAGTTATGGCAGTTATTAGTAAATAAAATTGAAAAATTTTCGAAAATTAGCGATTTTTAATTTTGTAATTTTCTTGGAGGTTTCCTCCATTTACGGGGAATGAGAGAAATTTTTTCAATTTATGAGGGTAATATCTTCGACTAGATTCGATTTGTGATCTTTTGACGTATCATTAAAATAAATCCGTTCGGTGAGAGCTGAGATAAAATGGTAACAGACACAAAAAAAAAAAAAACACATCATAGTAAAACCAATATCTTCTCAGTTTCGCATCGAAGCTAAAATAGAAAAATAATTTTAAAAAATTGATGTTTAAGAAATTAATTAACATTTATCTCCATGATAAGAAAATTAAAACATTATTATTTTATAAATAAATAAACTTAAATTAAAAGATTCACCAAAATTCGTCCCCTTTTCATCTCTTTCTCAATACCTCAATCTAAGTTCACTTATTTCTTATTAACACTTTCAAATAAGTTTTTGTACAACAAGCTATCAATTGTTTAAATTTTCCAATTTTTATTCAAAAATAGTAATTTTTCTTTATCTTTAATGTCAGTTATCGCGGCAAAAACATGTTTAGAGGTTAAATTTCTTTTTTCAAATTAAAGTTCATTTTTAAAAAGTAAAGGCAGTTTTAAGAAAAAAAGTTAAAAAATGTTGAAAGGTACCGATTTTTAAAATTGTAATTTTTTGAGTGATATTCTCCATTTACGGGAATGTGGAAATTTTTTTAATTTTTAAGGTTAATATCTTTGACTAGATATAATTTGTGGGAGGTAAGTGGCCCATTAATGCTTTTTCTCATTTACAAAACTATTTAAATAGATAAGATTTATGTGTTAATTATAAATATTTTCTTTTCGTATTTTTTTTATATATTTTCCTATAAAATTACAATATTAAATTATTGAATATCATACTAAATTTAATTACTATACTAATTCTTTATTTATGTAATTTACCTATAAATCATAAAAGTTTTCATCAAGATATGCTTAAGGAAATAAGAGTTGATTTGCTATTGAAATAATCCAACAATTCCATATAAAAATTAAGACTATCTACAAATTTGCATCGATGTGTTTTTTATAAAAATGATTTTAATTAATGTTTAAAACTATTTTATCTGAAAATTCATATTATTATTAATTCTAAATTTATGTATATCTATTATATGAAATTTAATTATTTATTTTAGAATTCGGAAGTATTTAATGATCAAGCAAGTACTTATGTGAATAATATGTTTTATGATAATAAATATAATGATGGGGGTATGGTCTTCAACAAATTTAAAGGCCTAATGCAAATTTTTAGAGCGATGCACGATTTGGATGAGAATCAAATGAATTTATTATTCATTAGTGAAGTTGGTAATAGTAAGTAAAGCTCTAAATATGATAATAAAGTTAAATTTTATTTTCAAAAAATACTATTATATACAGGGTGGCCCACCACTCACTGACAACTTAAATAACTTTTGATCCACTTAATATTTTTTTTAAATAATAGTTATACGTTAGGTCTATAGCTATATCTCAATAATTAATTTTTTTACATTTTATTAAAAATATTAATTATTTTTAAATTTTAAATAAAATGTAAAAAAAAAATCTAAGATAGCTATTTTGTAGAGTAGAATTTAAGAAAAATTTTAGTAAAAAAATATCTTATTAATATTCAGTAGTAAATATTCTGTAGCGTTTTGAAGTTTGTAAAAATTTGAATTTTCATGTACTATTTTACGGT